ACAACAGCGGCTGTCAACAACAAAAGAATAATTTCAGAACTTTTTCCACCTTTTAATGTGACCTATAAACTGTACAACTCAGTTGAACAACAAACTGAATTTTTTTAGGTGGAGGGAAGCAAAAATAAAAAACTAAAATAATATTGTTGCATAAGTGTGCACCCCTTAAACTAATAGTTTGCTGAAGCATCTTTTGATTTTATTCCAGCACTCAGTTTTTTTGGGGATGAGTCTATCAGCATGGCACATCTTGACTTGGCAATATTTGCCCACTCTTCCTTGCAAAAATACTCCAAATCTGTCAGATTGCGAGGGCATCTCCTGTGCACAGCCCTCTTCAGATCACCCCACAGATCTTTGATCGGATTCAGGTCTGGGCTCTGGCTGGGCCATTCCAAAACTTTAATCTTCTTCTGGTGAAGCCATTCCTTTGTTGATTTGGATGTATGCTTTGGGTCGTTGTCATGCTGAAAGATGAAGTTCCTCTTCATGTTCAGCTTTCTAGCAGAAGCCTGAAGGTTTTGTGGCAACATTGACTGGAATTTGGAACTGTTCATAATTCTGACTACCTTGACAAAGGCCGCAGTTCCAGCTGAAGAAAAACACCCCAAAGAATGATGCTGCCACCACCATGCTTCACTGTGGGTATGGTGTTTTTTTGGTGATGTGCAGTGTTGTTTTTGCACCAAACATATCTTTTGGAACTATGGCCAAAATGTTCAACCTTGGTTTCATCAGACCATAACAGATTTTCCACATGCTTTTGGGAGACTTCAGATGTGTTTTTGAAAAATGTAGCCGAGCTTGGGTGTTTTTTTCGGAAGGCTTGCCACTCTATCCCATAGCCCAGACATATGAAGGATACAGGAGATTGTTGTCACGTGTACAACACAGCCAGTACTTGCCAGATATTCCTGCAGCTCCTTTAATGTTGCTGTAGATCTCTTGGCAGCCTCCCAGACCAGATTTGTTCTGCTCTTTTTATTAATTTTGGAGGGGCATCCAGTTCTTGGTAATGTCACTGTTGCACCATATTTTCTCCACTTGATGACGGTCTTCACTGTGTTTTATGGTATATCGAATGCCTTGGGAAATTCTTTTCCACCCTTCTCCTGACTGATACCTTTTAACAATGAGATCCATCTGATGCTTTGGAAGCTCTTTGTGGACCATGGCTTTTGCTGTAGGATGTGACTAAAAATGTCAGGAAAGACCTACTAAAACAGCTGATCTTTATTTGGGGTTAATCAGAGGTACTTCAAAACAATGGCAGGTGTGTGCTGACTCCTATATAACATGATTTTGAATGTGATTGCTTAATTCTGAACACAGCCACATCCCCAGTTATAGGAGGGTGTGCACACTTATGCAACCACATTATTTTATTTTTTTTTATGTCTACTCCCCCCAAAAAAAGATTTCAGTTTGTTTTTCAATTGAGTTGTACAATTTATAGGTCACATTAAAGGTGGAAAAAGTTCTGAAATGATATATCTGTGTCTTATTTTTTTACATCACAGAAACCTGACATATTAACAGGGGTGTGTAGACTTTTTATGTCCACTGTGTGTGTGTATATATTTATTAGGTCCATATACTGTATATTTGGACACAGGCATAATTTTAGTTTTTTTTTTTTCAGGTATTTACCAAAACTTATTCAAGCCATAGGTATAGAATGGATATGGGCTGAAAGTGCACACTGTCTAAATTTGTGTCCGAGTCCAAATATATATGGACCAAACTGTATATAGCCTCATACTGAGGTGGTTATACCAGCAACATAGTTGAGGCTACAATCATGGTCCTGGTAACGTTTTCTTCAGGAGGAAATTAACTACAGAATAAATGTGACCTGAGTGGCCATACAGATGTTGATGTGGTTCCTCCTCCTCCTCTGTGATTTTAGAAACTGTAAGCAACAAAGACAGTTTTTGTCACTTCCAGTTTTGGCTTGTTTGTTCAAAGCCAAAGCCGTTACTGGCTAGTAGTGATGGGCCGAACACCCCCGTTTGGACCCTGGTCGAACATTCGAACCTACCGAAAGTTCAACCGCAAACTTCGAACAGGGACAGTTTACTGAGTGGTACCTTATCGCATTCAAGTATGCGATAAGACACCACTCAGCTACTAAATATACCACACAAGTTGTATTATTAAGTACTGCGGTATTTTAGTATTGAAACATTCTTTAATGTTTCAGCTGTCAGCAGGGTTTCCCACGAACAGCTGAACGTCAAAAGAATTGTCGGCATTGCCCAACAATTAAAAAAAAAAAAAAAAAAAAAAAAAAAGCATGGGGTCCCCCCTCCCATCCATACCAAGCCCTTTGGGTCTGGTATTGATTTTGAGGGGAACCCCCATGCCAAAATTAAAAAAAAAAAAAAAAAATAGTGTGGGGTTCCCCCCCAAAATGAAAATCCACACCAGACCCTTATCCGAGCATGCAGTGCAGCAGGTCAGGAAAGGGGGGGGGGGTGCAGACAAGCAAGCGCCCAAACACCATGCCAGGTTACATACCCACAACTACTACAAATACTGTGATGACATCACAAGGGTGTGGGGTTACCCTACCCATTGTCACATCATCATGCAATGTGATTGACCTACTTTGTAACTCTATATGCAACACTTCAGAAAGCCTTTTTAGGTTAGAGACTTTTAGGTTCCTTAGTAAAGTATCTATTTACTTGGTGTAACTATCTTCTATATTTTACCAAACAATTAGTTATAAATTGTGTTTATATGCGCTAAAATTCATTAAAGACTTACTCCGCTTTTTACTGAAAAAAAATATTCCCATTTGTGTGGTCTACATTGCAAAGATTTAAACAAACTTTGCTACAGATTTCTACTTTTTGTTATTCTGTAGAGGTTTGTTTGTCTCTGTCCATGTGCAGAGTGAACCTATATGGAAGTAATTTCAGAATTGTCAATCAGCTGCTGCACCTGCAGGGCTTTAAGGAAAGTGGCAGGGTCTGCATCCCTGAAGTGATTTTCCTTTTTTTTCCATTTTCTGTTGAAGGGGATTCTCAAAATCTGACTTGAATCTTAGTGCAGACTTCTGGGGAAATCAATAAGCCAATCACGCAAGCAGGAAATTACATATCTGGGACGTGTTCTGTATGTGTAGAAAACCTCCAGGTAACCATATTGCATTTTACAGAAAATTACAGCGCAGCAGATTGAAAAGAAAAGGTAATTTTTAATAACATTAAATTACAATATGACTTGTATACGCTATATTATAATTTTTTTTATAGGCTAAATTGTTTCCATGAAGGTGGAGTTACCCTTTAAAGTGTAATTTTTCCTGAGAAGTTGAGTTGTGTTGCAATTGTATTAAGCTATATTATTTATATACTATTTTTTATTGCCTATTTTTTTCCCCATGAAAGTGGAGTTACGCTTTAAAATATAATTTCTCCTGAAAATGTGAGTTGTGTTGCAATTGCATACACTATATTATAATTTTTTTATATTGGCTATTTTTTTCCCCATGAAAGTGGAGTTACCCTTTAAAATGTAATTTCTCCTGAAAATTTGAGTTCTGTTGCAATTGCATACACTATTATTATTTTTTTTTATTGGCTATTTTTTTCCCCATGAAAGTGGAGTTACCCTTTAAAGTATATTTTTTTCCTGATAATTTGAGTTTGATAAACTGCTTGGAAAATATCAGGTGATATAAAAAAATTGCCACAACAGCCATTTTATTCTGCAGAGCCACTGTTTAAAAAAAATATTAAATATTTGGGGGTTCTAAGTAATTTCCTAGGAAAAAGATGCAGATTTTTCCATGTAGGAGAAGTCAGACTTGGCCCTGTTCTGGAAGTGGTTAAGAAAGGTTCAGAGACTTTTCTTCCTTGTGTTTCCTGCAGGTCCGGCAGCTGATTGCAGTGCATGGGATGCTGGGCCTGTACAAACGCACCCGCACAGACCTGCAGTGTGAACCTAGTGTTAATAGGAACCTCTATTCTGTGTATTTATAGACACATCCGGCTTATTTTGGAAAGGAAACCACAGAGTAAACTACAGAGCTGTCTAGAACACATTCCCATGGAAGTCTACATTTCTTTGGCCTCGGTCACACAGACGCCATGCTCTACCGCCCCTCTGAAAAAGCGATCGCTGGCGGGTGGCCTATCAGATGGAGTTAAAGCAGTGGCCGCCAGGCATGTCCATCTGATTTGTATAGAGAGGGGCAGGTGAGACCCTCTATCATGTTTTTTTTCTTCCATCTGTGTCCCCACTGGGGGAGTTCACCCCTCTATTTATACTGGGCACTACTGTTGCGGAGACAGAAAGTGATGGGAAATTGTAAAAGTTGTCACCAGGGGAAATCTTCCCATGGGGACACCTGTTCCAGTGACAACTACCTCAGGACTCAGGTCAGTGTACTACAGCGGCAGGTACAGATAAGTGCTTATGTACAAATCAATGTCCTGTAAAGAGATGCCTGTGTAATGAGTCATGGCGATCGCTCCTTGTGTGATTAGAGGACAGCTGCCGAACCTCTTTATTGGTCTCTGATTTGTACGCTGAGGGGAGGAAGCTGAACATAAACATCTCTCCATACCTGCTGCCATAGTACACTGATCTGGGTGATAAATGCATAGTACACTGATCTGGGTGATAAATGGCTGTATGAATGAGCCCTGAGATAGTCCTCACTGGAAAAGGTATCACTATCCTGATGTCTGGTGCTGGTGACAACTTTGGGGGGGGGGATTTCCTCACTTCCTGTTGTGTCTCTGGGACAGGAAGTGAAGGGAAATGTCCCCAAGTGTACACAGACAGCATAGACATAACCTGGTAGGTTGTTACCCTTCTGTACTCTACTGAAAACAAAACAAAGCTGGTACCAGACACAGACTTTTCCTGGGGGACTCAAGTCCCCACCAATAGGACCAGTGTAGTCCTATAGGACGGAGTATAGCAGGCTGACCTCTACCCCTGGTCTCCCCTCGTCGCCCCGGGAAGTGCTGTGTCCTCCTCACCTTGCAGTTCTCCTTCTCACTCCCCACTTCACAGAAGCTGACCGGAGCCAGGCCGGGGAGGTAGAAGGCGGCACTCCAGCCCGAGCACAGCGCACACACCAGCAGAGGTAAGTAGTTCATGGTTCTCTGGGGCCCCGCACCTTCCTCCGGGTCAGATGATGGTGATGACGATGATGACAGCACTCGCTTCCTCACGCTCAACCGCTGCTAAGGGCTTGGCACGGCGTGATCCGACGTCAGGACGCGACGTGCGCGGTCCGTACCGGGATTAGGCGGGTGCACGAGGAGCGTTGTATACATCGGAGTGTGGGGGAGAGGGAGCTGCCTGGAAGTTGAGGTGAGAACACCTGGACTGAGTGTGCCCGGGGGAGGACGATGAGTGTGCTTCAATGACAGGGGGATTTCTTACAAGTATGAGTGGGAGAGGGGAGGAGTGGGGCGTAATGTTCAGGGGGTAGGCTGAGGACTGAAAGATAGGTTTGTAGGTGGGGTGGTGAGGGCAGGAGGTACAGACAAGACAAGGTGGGGTGGCGCTCTGGCCCGGTGAGGGCTGGGGGAGGGGGCACTGGCCGGGAGTGTGGCGCTCTGGGCCGGAGGGGACGGGAGTGTGGCGCTCTGGGCCGGGGGGGGAGGTGTGGCGCTCTGGGCCGGGGGGGGAGGGGTGGCGCTCTGGGAGGGCGCTCTGGGCCGGAGGGGACACTGGCCGGGAGTGTGGCGCTCTGGGCCGGAGGGGACACTGGCCGGGAGTGTGGCGCTCTGGGCCGGAGGGGACACTGGCCGGGAGTGTGGCGCTCTGGGCCGGGGGGGACACTGGCCGGGAGTGTGGCGCTCTGGGCCGGGGGGGGGCACTGGCCGGGAGTGTGGCGCTCTGGGCCGGGGGGGGCACTGGCCGGGAGTGTGGCGCTCTGGGCCGGGGGGGGCACTGGCCGGGAGTGTGGCGCTCTGGGCCGGGGGGGGCACTGGCCGGGAGTGTGGCGCTCTGGGCCGGGGGGGGGGCACTGGCCGGGAGTGTGGCGCTCTGGGCCGGGGGGGGCACTGGCCGGGAGTGTGGCGCTCTGGGCCGGGGGGGGCACTGGCCGGGAGTGTGGCGCTCTGGGCCGGGGGGGGGCACTGGCCGGGAGTGTGGCGCTCTGGGCCGGGGGGGCACTGGCCGGGAGTGTGGCGCTCTGGGCCGGGGGGGGCACTGGCGGGAGTGTGGCGCTCTGGGCCGGGGGGGGGCACTGGCCGGGAGTGTGGCGCTCTGGGCCGGGGGGGCACTGGCCGGGAGTGTGGCGCTCTGGGCCGTGGGGGGCACTGGCCGGGAGTGTGGCGCTCTGGGCCTGGCACCGGGAGTGGGGGCACTGGCCACTGGGGAGTGTGGGCTCTGGGCGGGGGGGGCACTGGCCGGGAGTGTGGCGCTCTGGGCCGGGGGGGGGCACTGGCCGGGAGTGTGGCGCTCTGGGCCGGGGGGGGGCACTGTCCGGAAGTGTGGCGCTCTGGGTCGGGGGGGGGCACTGGCCGGGAGTCGGGCGCTCTGGGCGGGGGGGGGGGCACTGGTCTGGGCCGGGGCGCTCTAGGCCGGGGGGGGGGGCACTGGCCGGGAGTCGGGCGCTCTGGGCCGGGGGAGGGGGCACTGGCCGGGAGTATGGCACCTTTTAAATATTCTGTCTGGTGCCAATCTTCACGCATGTGCACGTCTATTCGCCAGCCGTCTCACAGGAATTCCCTTACAGTGGCGCTCTGGGCCGGCCGGGAATGTGTGGCGCTCTGGGCAAGAGGGCAACTGGCTGAGAACAGGACTGTCCAGGTGGGTCAAGGATAGGCAGGCACTTGACTAGGGTGTGTGCATTGGGGTCTGACATATTGTGGTGCTAGAGGAGTGGGAGAGAGCGCACGTCTGCCCTGGTGTAATAATTTATTGATAAAAACAATGTAATTTCTCAGTCAATACACTCAAAAGAGATGATGAAAGGATCGGCATGTAGAAGGACCCAATCTCCACTCCTGAGTGGCCACTGTAAAGTCTCCATGGAAAGGGGTGACTTGTGATCTGCTAAGAGTCAGCTGGTACTCTTGATATAAACAGCCTGCCGCGATGGGTCCACTGTACATGTGCCTGGTCCAGCCAGTGTCATGCACCAGAGGGATCCTCCATCGACATGACAAACAGGAGATTTCGTGCCATCACCTGGTGGATGTTCTAGAGATCTGCAACGCCAGATTGAGAGGTGAACTACTATTATCAGCTAGTCCAGAGGGGCTTTTGTGACCAGCGCATCAACTAACTTTCTTTGGGTGGTTTTGCTGGTGACAGAGGAAGCGGCTCTCAAACTTGGGACTGTAGTGGTTCTGAAGGAATGCTTCAGGATCGAGGATAATTGGCCAATAAGTGGAAGAGGAAGGAGGAGAAATTTCTATTGGAGGCAGATTCCCCCAGTGGAAAAAACAACACTGTGACTAAGGCAGCCTATGCAGTAGTCCTTTTTTTTTTTTTTTTTTTTTTCTAGAACCAGAAAAAAAAAAAAGAATCTCTTCTCCCATCCACACATTCACATCCACTACTTGTCCAGCCTGTCAGTTTAGGTGGATGGCCATGTCTTGGTAGGTTTGCAGTTGTGCCATACTCTTTCCACTTTCAGATGATGGATTGTACAGTGCTCCGTGAGATATTCAAAGCTTGGGATATTTTTTTTATAACCTAACCCTGCTTTAAACGTCTTCACAACTTTATCCCTGACATGCCTGGTGTGTTCCTTGGCCTTCATGATGCTGTTTGTTCACTAATGTTCTCTAACAAACCTCTGAGGGCTTCACAGAACAACTGTATTTATACTGAAATGAAATTACACACAGGGGGACTCTATTTACTAATTAGGTGACTTCTGAAGGCAATTGGTTCCACTAGATTTTAGTTGGGGGTATCAGAGTAAAGGGGACTGAATACAAATGCACGCCACACTTTTCAGACATTTATTTGTAAAAAAGTTTTTCAAAACCATTTATCGTTTTCCTTCCACATCACAATTATGTGCCACTTTGTGTTGGTCTATCACATAAAATCCTAATAAAATACATTTACATATTTGGTTGTAACATGACAAAATGTAGCCAATTTCAAGACAGGGATTTTGAATTTATATTGCCTGACACCTGGGACATGTAGTTTCTATTTAACCCTTAGCCCTGCTGCAGGCAAGCAGCAGGGCTCATCTGTCAGGTGAAAGCATTCGGGAGGCCGCGCTGCTACTAGATTGCTTGCACACAGCCTACAGTTCCAACCTCTGCTATGTGCACTGCATTGCATTCAGTGGAGTACAAGGGTAGCCATTGGGGCGGAGAGTGACGGGGGTAGGGGGTACGCGGGAGGGCGCTTTCTGGGAGGATGTCATATGACGCCCTCCCAGAACTGGACAACCACGCTGTAGCCGTCATTTAGCTATAGAGCAGTTGGCAAGAGGTTAAATACGGTTTTGGATAAAAAAAATTTTTTTTTTTTTATCTGGACAAGTAGATTATCATGAGGGACAAGTAGACTGAAACCTTAATTTAGTCCCTGGACAAGTAGTTTTTTCAAAAATGTCAACACCCCTGTAAGGGGTATGAATACATTTTAAAGGCACTGTAAATTTCATTTCCACTTCTTTTTTGCATTACTATTCAAAGATACTTACCTGGTAGTGATGTGAACCCTAAAGTCATCCATCATTAGTCATTATTATTGACTGTCCAAATGAAAATGTACTTTTGATATGTATGGATATAGGCATTACATGCTATGTTGTCTTTTGCGTCTCTGCTGTATAAGAGATCATCGCAGCTCATTGTCATGATTCTCTGTATCTTCCTTAATGTAATCATGCTTTATTTTGTTTTACTCTGTACTGGTGTTTTTCATTGTCTTTGTTTTTCACGTTTCTCTTTTAATTGAGTTGTTTGATTAAAAAAAAAAAAAAAAAAAAAGTCCCCTATTTTTGTTCCACTTTTTGGTATATATCCTTTTTATGGATATATAACATCTTCAAGTATTCTTATTACAGCAGTTGTAGACCATCTAGTTTAAGTTTGGCATGGTTAAAGTATAACTAAAGACATTTCTTTATTGTATTTAGAGTGGCGAGGGATTAGGACACCTGTAAGGTTTTTATTGCCATCTGTGTCACCCCTTTTGGGGATCTTTACCCCCTGTATACTAGTGATGCACTGATATAAAATATCTGCCAAAAATAGGGTTATTGGCGTTTTGCCGATTTAGAAGGAAAAAAAAAAAGGTGTCGATAATCATAATTGACTTCAATGCAGAATCGCGTCCCGTTACCTTCAATGCAAAAACCCCTCTATTTAAGGTTTTTTGTTTTTTTAAATTTTATTTTATTTTATATATATATATTTTTTATATATATATATATCTGTCCATTTCAGTTTTCGGACAAGTGCATCCTGAATTTTTGGTTTTAGTCCAGAATTTTCTTTTCGGTTCACCATTGCATTATCACTGAGCATGAAAGTGAGGGAAAATTCTAAATTTTGAGTGTTCACCAAAACAAGAGTAGAGATTAAGTTTTCCCATGGGGATACTAGTTCTGTTGACAACCAGGTGTTTTCACACTTTGGAGAGATATATTCCTAACTTTACGTTTCAGCTGTAGGACAGGAAGTGAAGGGAAATCTCGCAAATGTGTACACAGATGGCGTAAAAACAAAAACTGACGGGTTATAACTCTCCCTTAATCTATTCAAATTTTTTAAAAAGTATCAAACACAGATCATCATGGGCAGGGCTGCTGTTAGAAAACACGGGGCCCCATACAGCCAGCCAACCCGGCAGCCCCCCCAAAAAAAACAAACCGTTTACTATGTTTCAGTTATGAATGCACACAGTGAGTGATCGATACCAACATATTTACCAGACCCTTCCCCCACTCTCCTTCCTGAAGGATCCTACTGTGTGTTTGCAGCTGCCAGTGTGTAGGAGAGGGAGACCTGCAGCACTGCAGAGGTGGGGGCACACAGGGAGAAACATATAGTGTACAGGGAGGGGTGACTGGTGGGGTGCAGTTACTGCAAACGATCCCCTGTATGGTTCTCTCTGCAGTAGCTGAAAGCCAGCAGGAGGGAGAGAAGAAGAAATCTTTCAGCTGCTG